GGGTAGATCACCTGAGGTCAGGAGTTCGAGACCAGGCTGGTCAACATGGTTAAACCCTATGTCTGCTAAACATATAAAAATTATCTGGGTATGATGGTACATGCCTGTAATCCCAGCTACTTGAGGGGCTGAGGCAGGAGAATCTCTTGAACCCGGGAGATGGAGGTTGCAGTGAGCTGAGATCATGCCACTGCACTCCAGCATGGGCAACAAAGCGAGACTCTGTCTCAAAAAAAAAAAAAAAAAATAGCCTGGACACCCCTACATCCTTCACTCCTTCTCTCTTGCCATGTGAACTGTGTACTTAACGGGGTCCTCTTGCCTTCTTGCCATCAGTGTAAGCAGCCTGAAGATCTCACAAGAAGCAGATACTGGCATCATGCTTCTTGTACAGCCTGCAGAACCGTGAGCCAAATAAACCTCTTTTTTAAATAAATTATCCAACCTCAGGTATTCCTTTATAGTAACCCAAACAGACTGAAACACATACTACAAAAGTTAAGTGTACTGAACTTCTTAACAGTAGCTCTGGAAGTTAAAGGCAATTCTTAAAATATCTGAAGACAAATTACCTGTAATTTAGAATTCTATGCCAATCCAAACTAAGATCCAGCTGTGAAACTATAATAAAGTCATTTTCAAACCTAAAGGTTTAAAAACTACACAATCTATGCATCCTCTTCTCAAAAAGCTAATAGAGAATGTGTTCGACCCAAATGCAGAATAAACTAAGAAAAACTAGGATATTTGATCAAGGAAATAAGAAACCCAAAATAAGAGAAAGGTAGAAGGAATCACAGAATGATGGATTGGAAAAGTAGATGAAATTAATGGAACAACTGATATGCTTTAACAAATTGAGAGGATACTTACAGTGGACTATAGGTTGGGGTTAAATTAATGATTATCACATGAGAAACTAAGCAATTTAAAAAAAAGAATTATCAAATCTGTCTTTTTACACATTTTTAAAGGGACAAGCAACTTTTTTTAGTAGAACATTTTGATTTTGGTGTTTGGTGTTTGGTGTTCTTACTTCCCTTTTGCTTATGAGGAACTACATTTGGAACTGCCTTGCCTTAACCCACAGTTTTAAGAGGAAGTATTGCAAACTAGAAATAAATGGAAAACTAGAGAAACAACTGAGATCTGTAACTCAGTAACATAGCAAAACTATTTTAAAATCACCTTCCGTAATACTTTGTGGTACTAAAACCAAGCAAAACTTGGCTATATGTATATAGCCAAGGTAGGAGGATCACCTGAGGCCAGGAGTTCAAGGTTACAGTGAGCTATGGTCATGCCTCTGCACTCCAGCCTGAGCAACAGAGTGAGACCCTGTGAGTCAATACATAATAAATAAATAAACAAACAAGCAAACAAATGGTAGAATAGAGTGAATTCTGAAGAAACCTTTTCTTTCCTATAATTCTGTAAGTGTATAGTGACATACCACTTTTGCAGTCATTGACTAGAAAAAGATTATGGTTACAAAGCAAATATATATAATTTACATAATTGTATATGCATGTGTACATACTCAAAAGCTTAATTCTATAGATCTTTGAAGTTTCTTTTTCTATTTTGGAAGCCATCTTTTTTGCCTTAGAAATTTTATGGTTACTGAAATCTGCATATATAGTCATTAAATAATAATAAAATAACAAGGAAAATTCTTATTTACCTCAGAAGTTTATGGAACTAGCTACTCCAAGCCCTGAAGAACTAGGCATTAAACAGTAACCTGTACAGTGCTTTGCGATATTGCAGTTGTGCATAGAATAAATGTGAGATTTAATAGTGTTACCTTGGCTGGGCATGGTGGCTCATGCCTGTAATACCAGCACTTTGGGAGGCCGAGATGGGTAAATCACAAGTTCAGGAGTTTGAAACTAGCCTGGCCAACATAGTAAAACCCTGTGTCTACTAAAAATACAAAAATTAGCTAAGTATGGTGGTAGGTGCCTATAATCCCATCTACTTTGGAGGCTGAGGCAGGAGAATCGCTTGAACCTGGGAGGCAGAGGTTGCAGTGAGCTGAGATCACGCCATTGCATTCCAGCCCAGGTGACAGTGCGAGACTCTGTCTCAAAAAAAAAGTTACTTTATATATTTAATTGTTTTGTTTGTATTTTGCCTCTGAGCTAGTAAATTCAGACATAGCATTTTGTGTGAAGTAATACTATGGAGATTAAAGGCACTCTGACTAATGTCAGCAAGTTGGTGGATTAGTAGGTCCCAACCCTCAAACCTCTGTTATACCAAATACCTTTGTTGGAGCCTGGAAAACCTGCTAAGAGGTTCCAGCACTCCAGTAGAAAAAAAACCTCAAGAATAGACACACTGAAGAGGTTAAGAAAAATAGTTTCACTTTGCCTACATCCTTCTCCTCCAAGGCAGCAGAGTTCAGTGCCAAGAGAGGCCCCTTAGGCCCATGAATTCTCCCAGGAAGGAAAGTAAGAGTCAAGTGAGTGCCCAGTTTCCCTAGCCTTGCATGGTGCTGCCCAAAAGGATCACTTCTGTTCTTCTCTATCCAGAATACTAAGGGACTCTTCACAGATGAATAGTCTAAGAATTGCTAGGAGAAGGAAAAAGAAGCAGAGGCTCATAGCAACCAACAGATGGTTCTTCAGAGCTAGATGTGGAGTCTAACTGGCTTGCAGACTCCACCATAGGCCCACCCACGAACCCTACACGACACTTCACCTGCAGAACCCCTCAGCTAGCTGACAAGTACAGCCAACACTCTACGCACCCACCCAGTAGCCAGCAGCCCACCCTCCCCTGCAGATAGTGTATGCAGGCCATGGCAGATAGCACATGGATATCAGCAACTGACTCTTTCTGGATTGGAAGAAGGCACACAACCTTGAACACTCTGGTACACTGCACTAGAGAAAATAAAAAGAGGTTCTCAGCACCTAGTCTAGGGGTGCGATTGAAAAAAAGCATACAATCTTAAGAGTTCCCTTCCCAAGACAGAATAAGAGGAGTGGAGTAGCCATAGAAAAGTTCTGAGAGACCTTCAGAATCTCTGGTAAGGCTGACTGGTGAATGTCTTTCCCTTTTGAAGCTAGTCAGTAAAGACTGGAGAAAGTGACTATTTCTTCAAATGCAAAGGTAGCAAGACAAGGCTTCAAGGAACACACACACATGTGCGTGCACGCACGCCAAGAAAACATGACAGCCAAAGGAAGAAACTCATCTTGAATGTCAGTGAGCTAAATGAAATCAGGAAAATAATACATGAACAAATGATAATATCAACAAAGAAATCATTAAAAAAGAATCCAATTCTGGAACTAAAGAACACAATAACTGAACTGAAAATTTCAAAAGTGAGCTTCAGTGACAGATTCAATCAAGCAGAAGGATCAATGAACTTGAAGACAGATCATTTCAAATCATGCAGTCAGAGGGAAAAAAAAAGAATGAAGTAAACCTACAGGACTCTAAACCAATATGCACATTATAGAAGTGATAGAGCAAGTAGAGAAAGAGAAAGGAGGCGGATAACTTATATAAAGAAATAATGGCAGAAAACTGCCCAAATCTGGGGAGGAAAATGAAGATCAAGATCCACAATTCCCAAAGAACTCCATGTAGATTGAACATAAAGATGTTCAAGATTATAGTAACAAGGTTATATTTGGTATTTTATAGATCTTTTTGTGGTTCATAAGCATGATGATTGGGTTTTCATGCCATTCTGTGAGATGTGCCTTTCTCAGACCTTGCTAAAACAGTGGCACATTACCTTTCTGATATGAAAAATTTTTCAGAGACATTTAATAAAATTATCAAAAGTTACTGACAGGCTGGGCATCGTGGCTTATACCTGTAATCTCGGCACTTTGGAAGGCCAAGGTGGGCAAATCACAAGGTCAGGAGTTCAAGACCAGCCTGGCCAGCATGGGAAACCTCATCTCTACTAAAAATATAAAAATACAGGCACATGGTGGCATGTGCCTGTAGTCCTAGCTACTCGGGAGGCTGAGGCAGGAGAATTGCTTGAACCCAGCAGGTGGAGGTTGCAGTGAGCTGAGATTGAGCCACTGCACTCCAGCCTGGCGACAGAGCAAGACTCCATCTCAAACAAACAAAGTTAATTACAATTTTGACAGAAACAAGAGGAAAGCAACTTATCATGTACAAGGGAGCTCCTATAAGAGTTTCAATGGATCTTTCAGCAAACCTTGCAAGCCAGAAGAAAATGAGATGATACAGTCAAAATACTGAAAGAAAAAGAAAAAGCTTGCCAACTAAGAATAATTTACCCACAAAACTGTCATTCACAAAAGGAGAGATAAAGACTTTTCCAGAAAAACCAAAGCTGAGGGAGTTTGTCACCCTCTACTAAGTGGTGGTAGCCTTAGTGGAAGCCTTAAACTACCACTGGTAGTAGAACAAAACTTAAAATCCCAAATATAACCTTGTTACTATAATAAAAATACTTTTAAATCTGAATTTCAGATTCATCTTACAATCAGCATTTTAAGCTCTATGATACAGTATTATAATAAAATAATAGCCACTACTATTTTCAAGTGCTTACTATATGCCAAATACATGGTATTTTATTATGTTCTTCAAGAAATACTAAAACTGAAACTAAAGTTGAAGTACTTCAAGGGGAAGTTAGAGGATGCTAATTAGCAACATGAAAATGTTAAAGTATAAAACTTCCTGGTAAAGGGAAGTATGGAATTACATTCAGAATACTCTAATACCATAATGTAATGGTGGTACATAAAATCATTTTTAACTCTGAGTTAAAAGTATTAAAAATAACTATAACTACAGTAATTTGTTAATTGATGCACAATATAAAAATGTAAATTTTGACATCAATAACAAAATGTGGGAGAGAATAGATGAGTTAAAGTGTAGAGTTTTGGTATGAGATCAAAGTTATCAGCATAAATGATTAGAATGTATTCCCAAACTAATTGTATTGTATACAATATGTACAGCTTTGCATGTCAATCATACCTTAATAGTTTTTAAATTACCATGCTGTTTCCAGAGCCATTACTTTATAATGAGTAACTTGGAAGCTTTTACTACATTATTAATAGATATAAATAGAATATTTTTTTAAATTGAAAATGAACTCACCTTGTGTAGTTTCTGAACATCTTCATTTGATACTCCTAGAGATGCCAGACCTATTTCTTTTGAATATTGAGCAAGGAAATACTAGGATCCACAAGTAGTGAAACATGTCCCAAGAGCTCATCACATGTGTCTCTGACGAGAAAAACATCACAAAGAAGCCTTATACAAGAAGCCTTAAACTACCACTGGTGGTAGAACAAAACTTAAAATCCCATATATGACCTTATTACTATAATAAAAATACTTTTAAATCTGAATTTCAGGTCCATCTTATAATCAGCATTTTAAGCTGTATGATACAGTATTTTAATAAAATAATAGCCACTACTATTTTCAAGTGCTTACTATATGCCAAATACATGGTGTTTTATTATGCACATTATGTGTTTTAATCCTCAATACAAAGGATTAAAGTATCTTATTAGTGGAAGAGCCTATCAAGCAGACCACTGCCTATTTTTGTAAATAAACTTTTATTGGAATATAGATACACTAACAAAAAAGATTAAAGGCACCCAATAATAACTTGGTAATGATTGATCTTTTAAGAAAATATATAGGTTACAGAAATCTGGAAATAATTTAAAAACATAAATAAAACTAAATACAGTAATTGCATTTCCTGGTTCCTCCGTGTCATGTTAACTTTAAAAAGAAACAACATATTCAACATGTTATTGCTAATTAGCATCTTTTCAGCCATATTTTCTTTGGTTCTCACAATTGTTATGCATGTTGGCTTCTCCTTCTTTTGATTAATACAGTTTGACATATAATTTCTTTACCTTAGAAACTTTAAATTCCACTCGATAATATCTAATGTGAAATTTTCTGAGGTGTTAGCACACCTATTTGAAATAATTTTATTTGCTGCCATAGTATAGCCCTTTATCATTTTATGTTTGGGCCATAGCAACAGTCTACCAGATATGTGACCTCTAGCCTCCAACTTTAAAACATCCTACACAAAGCTTTAAGAATAGTTTTTCTAAATGAAGTTTGTTTTTTTAAAAGACTTTTTAAAGAATAGTTTTAAGTTTACAGAAGAATAGGGCAGAAAATACAGATTCCCATATATCACCCTCCATAATGCAAACACACACCATTTCTCATATTAACATCCTGCATTAGTGTGGCACATTTGTCACAACTGATGAACCAATATTGCTACACTATTAACTAAAATCCATAGTTAACATTAGGGGTCACTCTTTGTGTTGCATAGTTTTATCAGTTTTGACAACTGCATAATGTCAGATATCCACCATTATAGTAACATACATAATCATTTTATTACCCTACAAATGCCCTGTGCTCCACCTATTTACCCTACCTACTTATACCCCTGCGTAACCAGTGATCTTTTGTCTCCATAGTTTTTTATTCTAAATAAAATTTTTTCTGATATTTAAAACCTCAATCTCTGGAGTAGGGCCAAATGTGTGAATGAAAAAAGCAAATTGTAGAAAGTATGTATAGTATTCTATTTATAAATTTTAAAAATTATATATACACATATATTTGATTATACATAGAAAATTTCTGGAAGGATACCTAGAAAAATAACTTCTGAGGAAAGGAGGAGAGACAGTGGATGAGGCCTTTTACTTTCTATTATTCTGTTTGAATTTCTTCCATATAAGAATATTATAATTTAAAATATTTTAATTATCAACCTAAAAATATCTCTGGATTGAAAACAAAGGATTTTCAAAGCATGAAAGCACTAGAAAGCAAAGGAAAAGTTCTAGAGATTTTAACTGCACAGAAATATTAAAATTCTGTACTCAAAGGCATCATAAAATCTGATCCACCTGCTATTTATCTATGATGTTCTATGATGTTCTTTTTAAATTTTTTTGTTATATATTTTTTTGAGACAGTCTTGCTCTGATGCCCAGGCTGGAGTGCAGTGGCGAAATCTCAGCTCACTGCAGCCTCTGCCTCCGGTTTCAAGCAATTCTTGGTGCCTCAGCCTTCTGATTAGGCACAGCGGCTCATACTTGTAATCATAGCACTTTGGTAGGCTAAGGCAGGATGACTGCTTGAGGCTAGGAGTTTGAAAGCAGCCTGGGAAACGTTGCAAAACCTCACAAAACCTCGTCTCTAAAAAATATTTTAAAAATTAGGTGGGTGTGGTGGCACGCACCTGTAATCCCAGCTAGCAAGGGGGCTGAGGCAGGAGGATTGTTTGAGCCCATGAATTCAAGGCTGCGTGAAGTGAACTATGATTGCTCCAGCCTAGGCAACAGAGTGAGACCCTATATCTTTACAAACTGTGTTGAATGAATAATTGCATTATTAAAATTATTGGTTTATCTCCTATTCTTCTATTGCTATATGTTGTAGAATTTGTTGTGTTTGATGGTGATCATACTTCTCAGGTGTCTAGATATTTTGGTTCATAAGCCATGTTTTCCTAGTGTTATTTACTACTCCTTTTAATAATGAATACAAAGGTAGAGCAAAGTGGCAGACCCTAGTTTTTATCCCTTCCCACAAGTTTAAGGAGTAGAAAGCAAGAGCTCTAAGCATCACAGAACTGATGCCCTATCTCTCTTTGCTACTGTTTCTCTAGTAAGGATCTGCGTTGAAATCCACAATCCAGTAGCAGAAGGCTGTTATAATTTACCAAAACTCTGGCAGCAGGAAGGAGTAGAGGAGTGAATGCCGGATATTCTAGAATATCTGGTCAGCCCCACTTTTTCATTGGCAGCTCACTTTAACAGACCCTTAATTTTATCCTTCAGGAAGCCTGATCTGTTGCTAGTGATTTCTGCAGCAATCAGTAGTTTGGCACTGATTGTCCCAAAGCAATGTGGTGCAAGGCAGGACAGTATTTCATAACTTACTCCTAACACTAACTCTGGTTTCTTCTTAGTTTTTGATCTTATTCCTCAAGCTTTTGCTTCTTTCTTTTTTCTTTCGTTACCCAGGGTTGATTTGAAAGGAGGAAAACAACAGCCTTTACTAGTTTTTCATTTTCCCTGGAACCATATGTAAGAAACTCACTTTAATTATAAAGACATAGATAGGTTAAAAGTAAATAACCGAAGAAAGATCTGCCATGCTAACACTAATAAAAAGAAAGCTGATGTTGCTATATTAATGTTAGACAAAGCAAATTTCAGAAAAAGGAAAACTGTCAGGGCTAGAGTGAAGCATTTCATAAGGATAAAGAGGTAAATTCTCCAAAACGATATAACAATCTTTAACATATATGCACCTAACAGCATTATAATATGTAAGGCAAAAACTGATAGGACCACAAGGAGAAATAGACAAATCCAGTATCACAGAGGCTTCAACACCTCTCTTTCAGTAATTGATCCAGCAGGCAGAAAATCAGTAAAAACTGAACTGTAGGATCATTAATCTACTGGATCTCATTGACATTTATAGAATACTTCATGCAAAAACAGCAGAGTATATATTATCATGAAAAAAGATACACATTTGTCAATATAAAAATAACCTTTGTATGTAAAACACGTTAATGAAATTAGTAGATACACGACAAATTTAGACAAATATTTCCAAGGAGGTTTAACATAAGGGAACTCAGAAATTCACATCAAGGGAACAAGCAATTCAACAGAAAAATGAATGGGCAAATAATATGAATTCAGAGAAGAATAAATCCAAAATGTGAAAAGCTCAGAATCAGGAGAAATCAGGAAAATGCAAATTAAAATAATAAGATGCCAATTAGGTCTAACAGACTGACAAACAATTTTTTTGATTTAACTGACATTTACTGAGTGCCTAACATGGGACAGGCACTGAGCTGAGCACACCTCCTATTTAGTATTCGGAAAATACTGTAAAGTGAACCTTACCGTTTTATTCAGTCGATGAAACAGGCTCATAAAACTCACATAGAGGAAATTGAATTCACTGTATAGGACCTATTTTTCTTTATTTTTGCATAGATTATTCATTCAAATAGTATATGTGTAGAGAGAGAGAGGTTTTGAAGTCTCCCGTGATCTCCTGTTCACCAATTTCTCTGCCAACGCCACCTGTACCATCACTACTTTTATTAGTTTTTTGCGTACCTTCCCAGAGATTTTATAGAAAAACACAAATTTATATTATTTTCCATTTTAAAAATAAAAGTAACAATATATACACTGTCCTATGTATATTACAATATATCTTAGAAGTATTTATGTAAGTCCGTAATGAGATTCCCTATCTTTTAATGGCGGCTTAGTATTCCACTACATGAATGCCAGAATTTATTTTACTAGCCCCTGTGATGGACATAGATGGACATGTGCATTGTTTTCAGTCTTTGGCTTTTAAAAATTATCATTGAATAATAATGTACATAATGTTGTCTCACGTTTAAGATATCTGCTGGATAAATTCACAGAAAAGAGATTGCTAAGTTAACGTGTGTTTATGTGTGTGTGTGATTTTGACAGATATTGCCAAATTTCTCTCCATACACAACATTGTTATTAGAGTATGTTATTCAAACTGTTGGATTGGGGACTGATAAGTGGAAATGTTTATTCTCAGTACAATTTTACTATGCATTTCTCGTCGTAAGTGAGGTGAAACATCTTTTCAGACTGGGAAAAACGTTAAATGACCAACAGCAACTGTGGCTGGTGAGGGGTCTAAGTAAAAAGGTATTGTTAGAGATTGCTGGCATAAATGCGAACTTTTTCAATCTATTTGTAAAACAGTCTGGCAACCTGTGTTAAAATTTTTTAAGCTACAGATATATTTTGTCCTTGCTATACCATTCTTGGGAAAGCTCATCAGTAGGAAAAAAGCAGAATGAATTATGACTCATGAATCCTACAAAATACTATACAGCTATCAAAAGGAATGAATTAAAAGTTGTATGAGTTGTCATTTCCAGATATTGCTAAATGAGAAAAAGATGGAGAAAAGTGTAGGATCTCAATCTGTAAAACAAATAACATCATGAGTACATATAGGTGTTCACATATTTGTGTGTGTACATACTCAGATATTTATATTTGTATATGTGTATATATATATATATATATGAGGGAATGTGAAAAACACATATTACTTGAGATATAGGTTTGCTTACTCTCAGACCAAAATATTAATGACATAAGATGTAAATTTCTTTTCTCATAGTCCAAGGA